CTCATTCTTTCTTGATTCACAATGAAAGTATAATGGGAAGAAGAAATAATCTTGAGGAATTGAAAGAAGAGCCACTATGAAGACAAAAAGGCAGCTAAAATAAATCTGAGTTTGGGATAGAACTGCAATCCGAGTAGCAATCTCCCATAAGACCCTCCCTAGTTCTCATGAAAATAAAGAGAGGGAAGGGATGCACATTTAGAGTTGCAGGATTCTGTTACTGTAACATAATAATAAAAATAGCATTAGCAAGAACGACTTTGGTTTCATAGTCTGTTCTGCCTTGAAGAGCTTACACGAAGAGATGTACTTAAGATAAATTCATGTCACAATGAGGAAAAAAGGAGATAAAAGTTAGGAATAGGGTACTGATCCATTATCTTATCAATAGCCTGGCTCCAATCACCCGATATCTAGTTCTATATGATCAAGGACATTTCTGGATTTCTGATTTAAAAATAAAACCCACTTGGTTGGAAATTGAGGCAACTTTCAAAAACAATTAGCAACAGGAAAAGGGAGTTTTATGTCCAAAAAAAAAAAAAAACAAACACCTAATAATTCCCCTGGGTGTGCCCAAAGTAGCTCTCTGGATGCTGGCCAATATATTTGCCTCTCTCTTTTTTATAATAAAAATTGCACTACTGAATAAAAATGTACTCCATTGCTCCTAACAGCTGCCTGTGGCTGCCAGACAACACATTAAGCTGGCATAGATAAAGTTTAAAATTAAAACCACGAAAGCAGTCCAATCTTCCAGCACAATTTTTAATTATATTCAGCAGTATGACATCTTTCCTTTAAAAAAAAAATTAAAATTAGTACTTCAAAAAAAACAAGAGCTGCTTTCAGTATATATAAAATTTTTGTGGGATGAAGATTTTTGATTCCTACAAAAGTAGTCTGAAAGTTAATAAACGTAAATATTAATATAGTCAATATATGTAATTTTTATATTTTATATTATTATATTTTATAGTTATATTATAATGAAAATTCTATCCCTTGATGAAATCTAGTTACAAACTAATGGATGAATTCCCAATGTATTTCCTTCACAACTCCTGCTATGTCACTTCTAATAATTTAAGACCTCACAAAGATTATAGCAAATATCTTGTTTTGTCCATTTTACCATAGCAGTAGGTGGGAGTATTTTCTTTGGCTTCATCCTAATTAATAAAAAGAAATAACTTACTGTCAGAATAGAGAGCAGTTCTTTCACGCTACACTCAGGTTTTAAATGCTCCTTGAACATTCTGATGGTTGGATGCTTCAAATAGTAGTAAGAAGCAATGCGGCCATAAGTCAGAGGTTCAATATTACGGTCATCCTATTAGACATTAAAAAAAATATACATTGTAATAGAAGTAATGCAGAGTGCATATGAGACGAGTTAAACACATTTTAGACAGCATTATATCAGAAATGTGTAAATTGCATTATGTTGAGATTGGGATTAAAATATATATTATCATCATCATTTTACCCATTGTGTATCTAGCGTAGGACGAAGGACTCTTCCACATGTTTCCAATCAATACGTCCTGAGCTTTCTTTTGCCAATTGGGACCGCAGTATTGCTGATGTCATAGATCTATCTTGTTTTAAGTCTTTTTTTGTGGATGCTTTTTATCAAGTGGGATCCATTCTATGACTGCCTTGGTCCAACTGCCATCAGTTCTTCTTGCTATGTGACTAGCCCATTTCCACTTCAATACTTTTACTCTCTTGATAATAGGCATATTTTCATTTGTTCTCTAATCTATGCACAGGTCTTTATCTCTTATCTTGCAATGGTGAGCATGTATCTTTCCACTTTGCGCCACTTTTGAATCGATACAAA